AATAAAGGCACTGAGCTGTTTGGCAGTTAAATCTTGGTCATGAAAGGACTTCCCATACAGCATAAAAATATTATGAGGCTGCACCTTTATCTTCCCTTGTCTCTGCGGAGCATCATTAAATTTAATCACTGGGTACTCAGAGCTCGGCCTGCCTCCTGTGCTGGCCTTTACCTGCACCTCCTATACACCTTGGCACAGGGCAGGTTTGGGTTGGGGACCTGGAGCCTGCGGTCTGGGCAGAAATGGATTTTTCTGAATCAAAGCCCAAACGTGGGCTGAGGGAATTAGACAGAGTCGTTTTCATTGAATTTTCCTAGGAGCTGGGTACTTAATTATCCTCAACTGCTTTGAAAATCACAGAGTTGAGCAAGACTGTGGTTTCTCTGCCCGCCTGACCCACATGGGGTTTCTTCTCCTCTTGGCCCCTTCTGGTAGAATATTTTGATTTGTTTCATAGCTGGAGAACAGCACAGCTCTTGCTGGAACACAAAGTACAGACCAGATGTGCAAAGTTTGAGGCATATGGGCAAAAGTTAGCTCCTTCAGACGGACAGAGGATAATTTGTTGTAAATATATTTACCATATTATTCAGAGCACACTGCAAGCCGTAGGCCTGAAACAAATGCAGGAAAATACTTCACTTGCTGCTACATAAAAAGGCTTAATTTGAACTGAAACCTTGCTGTGTGTAAAGTGCAAAGAGCAGATTACCTACTGTTTGATGACACTTTGCCCAGAATAATTTATAAAGACGGCAGGGCCTTTTAAAAATACTAATTAATGCCTTGGTGGAGAAAACTTGTAAAATTTTAAATTTCTTCATGTCACAGTGAAAAGCTTTAAATAAGCAGCCACCAGGATGGGCTGACTAGAGGAAAACCTTCCCTGGGTGCACAAGAAACCTCTTTGCTGCTGATCAGGAGGAGATGGAGATAGTAGGAGATTCCTACTATGGAGATAGAGGAGATAGTAGGAGATAGATGGAGATAGTAGGAGATTAGTTAATTAATAGGGAATGGGTATTCCCTATTACAACAGGAGGGATAAAGATGACTGAGCTGCAAAGCATGATTCTGGGGAGCTTTATTTCTCTAAACTTATGGTATCTAATATAAGGTGGGTGGGAAAAACTGCTCTCTGYACCAAGGTAGATTTTGCCTTCCTGTGAGCAGCGACTGTGGGGCCTGGCCCCCCAGAACCAAATGAATGGTCTCGGGGAGGAAAATGCAACCTAAACACAGATGTTAATTTGAAAGAAACCATAATGCTATGTATGTAACCAAGTGCTTGGCAAGCCGAAGGAAAACAGCAATTTGTATTGTTATTATTATTTAACATATAAATAAAGGCCTCCCTGGACTGAAATTGAATTTCAGCAGCCTTTCTGGAGGCAATTAAAACCATTAGCTTCATCAGCCAAGGCCAGTGTTTTAATGTCTCTGAAACACTCCGCCTGCCAAAGTTAATTATTCATCCTTTTCTTAATTGGATTCAGACTGAATTTAAGGGTGCAGCTTCAAAAGGGCTGGCTGAGCCTTAGTTTTTTGTAYGTCTCTCTCCTCCCTTCCCTCTGCCCCACCAGAAATGATTCAGAAGAAGTTGTTTYACTGCTTTGGAGAAGAGTTTTCGAGCTCATTTCAGCCTAGGATGGCAGCTGATTATCTCACGGTATCTCAGGCTTTCAGGGGGSGGATTTTGGAGCTGTTATTTGGTAGACACACAAACACTTGCAGGATCAGATATGACAAGTCTTGTTTCAAGTGTTAGAACTCAGCTCTTCCTCTGATGTGTTGCCTCTAAGGATGGGCACAGTGGAATATTTTGCAGTAAGTAACAAAAAAATAGAGGTGTTTATTACCTCCCCACAATGCCATTTCCTTGGTGAGAGTCCAAAGTACCCCCTCTGACAAGAAGAAGACCCGAGTTCAGCCAWCTCAGAGGAATGAGGAGAAAAGGAGCAGTAATGCAATTTTCATGCAAATCAAGAGGTAGCTGGAAGTGGCTGTGGAGCATCTCTCCAGTGCTCCAAGCTGTCCTGTTGCTATTGTGTGTTTCTATATCCCCTTCAGCTTTCTGATGGATTGCTGTGTTGTGTGATACATATGGTTGCTGGTTAATGTTGTAGAAGTGAGTAGATTTCCTGATCTAACTCTATATTAAACAGTTTTCCATGTACAACTAGCTACAAATCTTTCAGTCACAGCTGACCTTTTCCAGATGCTCTAGTCATGGAAAGTACTATCCCATTATAATAATATATTTTCATCTTCTGGTGCAATAGTTTTAACTGAGGAGTTAGATGTCAGTCATTTCTCATGACTAACAWCATCATAAAATAAAAATATATGTTTGGAGCCTGAACTCCATACTATCCTGGATTTTTGTCCATACTATTAATGAGGCTTTGCAGGTAAAAACTGTTGCATATAAAACAAAATARGTTTTTCAGGGTTTTTTATCTGGAACATGAGTTTTTTTCTTTTGACTGTTTGTCAAAATAGAAGCTAAGAAACAGCATTCATGTCTACTGGCACTAATGACTGCATGAGGCTCCTCCTCGCATTTTGTTTTACGGCTGAGTTGAAGAATGTCTCTATGCAGTCAAAGAAGCCAAGCCTTTTAGAAGCCACGTATAATTTTATGTGAATTAGGAAAAAAGTAAGAATCGGGCTCATAAGACTACATCACAGATTGTTCAGTGTTTTACGCAATGCACTTTAATGCTRTTTTCATCACTCACAGCATTAGTGTCAGATTAGCAGTTTTGTCCTGCCTACAATGCCATCCATTTTTTACAAAATTAGCTTCTTATATCAGGTCCTTAGTCTGAAAGATTTTTAAAAGACARCATGAGGTAAGAAGATTGTAATTAAAATCCATATAAAGAACCTTCTTAGTTGCATACTGGCTATGAGAGAAATTGGTTCAGAAAAGGATGCTTATGCGATTATCCTTTTTTTTTCTCCCCTCTTTTTTTTTTCTCTTTTTTTCTCCTCTTTTTTCCCCCTTTTCATTTTCTTTCCTTTTCTTTCCTTTTCTTTCCTTTTTTTTTTTTTTTTTTCTTTTCTTTTACCCCTCTCTGCACTTCTTTTGGAGTTGGAAAAGCTGTAGGACTTCAAGACATCCAGGGCAGGAGAAGTGGATGTGTGTCTGAGCAATCAGGAAATGAGGTTCAAGCTTTCTGAACATGCATGTCTGATGGAGATGGGGAAATCTCTGATCTCCAATGAGGAAATTGCTTCTAAGCTCTCCAGTATAGCCAGGTTATTCCTGTTTTAGGAAGAATAGTTATGCATGGGGGGATGACGGGAGATGGTGGCTCTGGTCCATCGCACAGAAATCTTTGTCTCTCTAACTGATGCTATCCAAGTCAGTGACAAGAAATCTGTCTCTGCCTGAAAGAGAAGAARTACCAAAGAGCTGCATCATCTTTCCTAGGAACGGCAATGCCATAGCAACAGTTGTCTATCAGTGCCACTGCGTTGCTTAATAGTCCGCAGATTGGTGTGAGGGCTAGAAGATCTTCTGCTATTGAGCTTGCTGCACAAGGGTTGATACAGTTGGCAGATAATTGCTATAAAAATGTGTACGTACAGCACAGATTATTATTGTCTGGATTTAAAATGACTTTTTGGCATAGCCGCATGACAAGTGATTTCTCTCTTTTGAAAGGAATTTTAATTAATGTTTGTGGTAGGGCTGGTTGGGTTTGATAATCTCTGAAATTAATTTTTGGGGGAGAATTAGTGTTATTTGGGTTTGGGGAATAATCCTAAAGCCAAAATTGTGGCATTGTTTTTTATTAGCTGCAGTTATAGTAAAATATATATATATATATATATATATATAAAAAACCATTCCTTTCAGTATTTTTTTCAGAATGAATAAATATTTTTAACGAGTTTTCAGCTGGGAACCTAATTTATAGTGAAATGAGGATCAAATAGAAACACAGAATTTTAAACTCATCAAAAAGAAAACTTTTGATTGACTGCACTTTTTTTTTTTTTTTTCCAAACATTCAGTATATGAAAATGTCAACTCGATCCAAATTCAAGTCAGGATAAATGTTTGAAAATACTTCCGAGATGAGAGAACTTTTCCCTGCTTAGCACTTTTCTACTTACTGCATATTAATACTTCCTGGCTCACTATGTTAGGTGCGGCTTTATTTTTTATTTATTTATTTTTGTCATTCTTTAAATGAGTGCTTGCATGGAAAAAGAAAGTATACGTTGAGTAATTTAGGCTAAGCTACACCATGTGTCACTCCTTTGAATTGACCCAAGTTTTACCATGGACTCGCTGAATGGCTGGCTCAGTGGAGCTATGGATTAAATGTTTATGAAACTCAAATGACTTGTACAAAAAGTAGCTCTAGGTAAAGCCCAGGACTGAGACTGGAGGGCCCCACTTGGATCCCTTTTGACGGGTCCATTTTGGAGTTTTCCACTCTACGTGTCAGTCCAGCTCCTTCAACAGGCACTGCAAACATTAAACAAAAGAAATAGGCTATAAATGGCCCATGAGTTATGGGTTATCTTTGCCTGCCGGTTCTCGCTGTGTGAAGAACTTCTGGTATTTGCACAGTGATGTAAATTATTGCAGCCCGGCAGCGTTAGCAAAGTGCCCTGTGCGCCGTAAAGCACCCAGTGCTGACAGCGCTGTGCAGCCAACAGACTGCGCCTTCTCGTGCTATCTAATCTCAGGCTTGACACTATCACAGCAACAGAGCTGAAATTAACTGATTTTGAGGAAATATTGACTTATGAAATGTAAGAGGGAACCAAAAAGACCTGGGAAGCTGAATGCCCTGGCTGCTTGACTTGCAGCTCAGAGAAGACTCTTCATTCTTTGTCCTAGAAACGCAGCAGACGGTCACTAACATCAGCTTATTTATAAGGGGATGGAGGAGGAAACCGTACGTGGCAGATTTGGGGCTCTGTAGTGTAATAAATCAATCAATAGGTTTTTCCTTTGTTTTTCTCCCCATGTGCAGCTAACGAGAGAACACCAGATGGCCCTCTCCTCCATCACTTACATCGGCTGCGCTCTGTCCATCTTCTGCCTGACGATCACGCTCGTCACATTTGCTATATTGTCGTGAGTAATTTTACCTTAATACCTGCTGAGCGACTATGGGATGGAAAGTCTAGCAGTGCATTTCAGGCCACTGGATTGGATCCCTTCAGGTCCCTCAAATCAAGCAAAGGCTATTATTTCTAAAATCTTCCTAATTAGGTTCTGCACATGTATTTGTAACGGTTGGTTATTTCTAAATTACTTTAATTTCCTGAAATGGGATAGTCTTTATATAGAAAGCTATTTACGTACTATATGGGATTTTTTAGAGTTTTTTTAAAAACTCTTCTCCATAGTGCTATAGTTCAAGGATCTTGGGAGGGTGAGGGCTCTAAGTGAGCTTGATTCAGAGTTCCAGACAAACTCACAGGATGGCAGGATGAGTTTGAGGCCCAGATAGTTGGGTTTTATTTTATTTTTTTCTGAAAAGTCTTTCATAAATTTTCTATCCAAATTAAAAAGACAAAATCTGAAAGGAAGTGAAGGAATTTGCCCTATCTCCTGAAGGAAGGAATGCTGCCTATSTCCTGAAGCATTAAACCATTTTCTTTACTCAAGTGTCCAGGTTTTGGTTTCTGTGTCCAGGCATGACTTTTGCACACCTGCTAAGAGACCAATTTTTAGAAAAGGGGACCTGTTGAAATTTGGTAAAGTAATAGAAATGTTTGTTCCAAAAACAATATTATTTCCAAGACTCCGGATCTGTTTTGGCCATACTTGGATTGTGTGTCGTGTGTGGCAAAATCCACTCCAAGTAAGTTCCAAAGTCTGCTGATGTGGCATTGGGCTAGTGGAATGTTTAGGCTACAGGGAACAATCTGCTCCATTTTTGTCTGTGTGCAACACTGTGGATGTTAGTGCTTAAAAAGGAAAGGAGCAAAAGGAGATACAGCTGGACTGACAAACTCCCAGAGAAACGGGAGGCAAACAGAGCACTTGGAAGGAGAATTTGGACCTTGCTGACAGTCACAGGACTCAGCACCCCTCATATATGCACGGTTGGTTAAACTGCCAATTAAAACTAATTTGATTGGATTTTCCCTGGAGAGCAGGGCTTCGTTAGACAGCTGAAGCAAAATTTTGCAATGTGGTGTTAGAGGCCGATGAGGTAAGTGGAGAGGAATCTGGCACTTTGTGAGCTGCTCTGCAGCCTGGCAAAGGCGGCCGTTTCCAAGAGCGTGGCCCTGATCGCCTTGTGGGTATGAGTGTCCCAGCCCTTGACTGCGTGAAGCTCCCTATTAGAAAGTCATTGGCACCAGGCAGCACAACCTGTCTCTCTGAATCACGCTGAGGGCATCAGTACTTCTTGTCTTTTCATGTTCCTCCTCACTCCTTCATAATGAGGGTGGGCTAAAGCCCCGCTGGAAGAGCGAAGCTGACAGCAAGCCATCATCTGCATCACTCTGGGTCACCCTGCTGCAGAGGCCACAGATGGTGTGTCRCCAGCAGTGGGAAACGTCCTCTCAGCCTCATGAGATGCAAGGAAAAGACAGGAGTGTGCACTGTTGTGCAGAGGAAGCACAGTTTTCACGCAGCCAAACAGTCCAGGCCTCCTGAGATAATTAAAGCTGGTAACAGGGGCTGGCAGAAAGCAGGAGTTGAAAACAAAAGCCTGTGTTACTATGTTACTAATACTCTATTTTTTTTTAAAAAAGAATACAATTATGCAAAAGGTCTGAAATATTCAGATAATTCAGATAAATGTTTTTGTTTTCTACTTCTACTTTACTCAGAGGAAAGCATGTTCTTGCCTGATTTCCAGCTGCTTTTGCAAAGTCAAGAGAGAAGTTGAACGATGTTGTGCTCAAAGGCAGTGCTMTGTCAAGGTAGCCACTGCACAGACCTATAAGTTGCTCTAGCTTTTGCACTCAGAAGCTGATAATAGCAAGGTCAGAATTGTAACCTGTTTTCCTTTAGGTTCACTTGCATCTAATACAAGCAAATGCCAACAAAACACTGAGGAATTCTGCAGTTCTGGGTGGGTTACGTTTTGCAAGGTGCAGAACGTGTTATACGTGTTACAGRTCTGATTTCCTTGAGAGTACAGCACCATTCAGGATCAAACCTTTTCTAATTATTCTATCCCAGGGTATTAGCAGAGCTAGTTAATGTGTAAATGAGTCTTTCTACTGTATTCACTACTCTAACAGACTACGCAAGAAACTAGTTAGCTAGCAAGAACCTCACTCCATCCTCGTGGCAGAAGCACTTAAAGAGACTTTGTGATAGCCCCACCAAAGCAAATGAAGAAAAAATCTTGAAGGCAAATCATAAATACGTTAGTGCTTCTTGGAATATTGTTTTATTCATAAGCCTTTTCATCTTCTGTCAGGTCTGTCAGCACCATCCGCAACCAACGCTACCACATCCATTGCAACCTATCCTTTGCTGTCCTGGTGGCTCAGATCCTGCTTCTCATCAGTTTTCAGTTCAGCCCTGGAACAGTAAGTGCTAGAAAGAGTGCCTGAGTTTTCTGGCAAGGCATCTGCATGGAATGAGTGCCACATGCTCCGTGCAAGAAAGTGTCTCCTGGAATATCTCCCATTTGTAGCATGCCTAAACCATAAACGCCAACCCACAACACCGGATAAACACTTTTGCATATCCAATAATGTTATCATAGTGTACAATACAAGTATTGTGAAAATGAAGGCCTATTTTATGTCACAGGCTCGCTGATGCTACGGATATCTGCACTAATTCAAGACTGTGTCAGATCATATAGACTTAATGGGAGGACATTTTAAGAGGGTTCTCTATAATGCAATAACACTGACACTCAAATTGAAAACACTATTTTAAATCAGATTTAGAAAATGCATGCAAATTTACCTGCTTTAAGGCTATCCATTATGAATGCTATTTTGAGGGAGGAGATGCTGAGGGACTACTTTACTTTCTCAACAACCATTACTATGATGGGCCTTGCTAGTGGCTGCTCTGTTTTTTCCTATTTTCACAGACTCATGAACAGTAGCAGTAACAAGAACTGTCTTTTTGCAAGTATCCTGCTATAAGCAGTGTGCATTGTGCCAYAGAGCAAGGGACACCAGTTTTCTCACATTTTCAGTACCTTTTTCAATGATAATGTCTCGCATTTTCAGTGTCTTTTTCTAGAAGCAATTCTGACAAAATGTCCTCAAACTAATAGGTACAACATTAATACAGAACTAGTAGCAACTTAGCTATTGATTATATGTAAAAATCTGCAACTCAATATTACACAAAATTACATGCAGATCAACCTCCTGCTACTGCACTGTGTTTAATATTTCTGCTCTTTTATGATGTACATTGTTTAGCTATTCAGAAAATATCCATTTGACAAGACCAGCTTTATGCTGTATTTATATTGCATGGACTAAGCTTCCTGCAGAAATCAAATGTCATTAAAATGGCTTTCATGGCCTTATGATAAAATTAACTGAAATTGGTTTTTTTTTCCAGTTTTTGCCAATAAGCAAATCTGGTTTAGTTATATGTCATTGAACATTTCAAAAYTGTAAAACACAGATCTTCCTTATATGAATTAAACTCCAAGTTATTGCTTTTTAATACATGTAAACACAACGGATTTGCATTGGAATGTTCCTGCACCAGTCCAGAACCAGCTGAACACAGTGAAAAGGTACTGGGAAGCTTTAATTTTCATTATGCTACCCAGTCCCAAGGTTTTTAACTTTCATTACAGTGCCAAGTCCAAGCCATCCACAGAAAGAATAAAACGTACCTAAGCTCACACTCAAAGAGAAGTACTAATTAACATTTGAAGAGACTGCTGCAGGAAACTGGTTCCTACAGTAATGCTACTGAAACCCACCAATTCCAGCTGCAGGAATACCTTAAATGTGATTTTTCTGGATTAAGAGGAGAAACGGTGAAGGATAAAAAGAAAGTCTTCCCATTGGCATGGTATGGTCTGCAWGCAAATAACCCTGTGAAATTCTGTGTGTCACAGAACGACACATACAAAGTAGATTGACCACCATCTGGATGCTAGTTGATGCAGACCTGAGGTATAGCTGCAACTTGTTCCAAGAAAGTGTTTAAAGTGTATCTTAACTGTAAGCCGACTAAACCTGATTATCTTGTGGTACGATCCCTGGCAATCATGTCTTGTCAATGACTGCACGAYGAGTGAAACCACTTGTGGTGAGACATCCTCAAAAAGCAAGTAGTGGTACAAGGGGAAGGTGCTGTGTGAATAYGGGACAGGTGGGCAAGGAGGAAGGATTCGATTTTAGTGTTTGCATAAGGGAGGTTGATAGGAGGCTTAGAAAAAAAAATTATATAATGATTTCTCTGAGGAATAACTGGAGAGTGCTGCTATGACAGCCCTTCGAGACAAGCCAGGCATTAAAACCAGCCGTGCATTTCTTGTAGTCATAGGGCCATAAGCAATTCTGGGGCCAAGCCTAAGCCTGACTCAGGAGGAATTTTTTCCTTCTCTCTACCCTGTCTTTGTACTGGCATTCCTTCATGTGTTGAGGCAGCATTTATTTCATTCCAAAACATTCTTCTAACTTAAACTGAAGCAGATGCTCCAGTTCACTCCAGTTGGACTCCCTCACTGGATGGCATTTTTCTGTTGCTTAAGCTTTCTCATTAGTTTCTATTTCCAGAATTTCAACAGCTCTTTATGCAACAAGAGACTATCAAGGAGGATTCAAATTGTCTGTAAAGAGCAGAGCTTCAGTTCTCTGCCTTCATCATTAGACATGTTCCTTTCAAGTATGGCTTTGAGTATGTACTCCAGGCTATGGGAAATAGAGATTTCTAGTAGGCAGGCAAGCTACACAACCAGGAAAGCAATTAGGACTTGTAAACTAATTACAACTTATATATATATTTTTTAAAATGGTTATATTAGTATTGCTGGTGAAGGAGCACATGAAGCTTTCATTGAATTTCCTACCTGAACAGACAGCATTGGAATACAGTAAGATCTAATTTGTGAGTSATCCTGTTTTTAATAAAAGCAGCAAGTAGGGAAGCTACTGGCAAAAAGAAGTTAAAGATCAAGTTAAACATGGTATCCTATTTGAAAATTTCCCTTTTTTCCTCAAACTTAGGTGAGCTATTGACTTTCCAGTGTTGAAAACGTAGCTTGAACGTTTTTCCCCCRTCACAGAACAGACAGAAGGGTGTGGGGCAGCATCTGCACCACCACTTCTCTGACCTCTCCCCCTTTTTGCTGCGACCTACGATTTCAAGTTCTTAAATCTTTTGTAGACTCTAGTAAGAGTACTGCTTATATACAAATAAACAACCTGTTTGGCTTGCCATAGTAAGTTTAGTAATGTTTTTTTTTGCATTTCAATTGTGAAATAGTAAGAGAATTTGTCACTCCAAAGCTATCTTAAAGCGCTGTAGAAAAATAAACATCCTTTAGTGCTCTGTTCTTTAAGAATGTTTTACTGCAGTGATTTAGTGTTTAGTACGTAAATGCAAAAATTATTACAAAAATTGAAAAATCCTACCAAGTTGACTACATGACAAAGCATTAACATATTTCTTTTTTGATTTGTTTTTAGGTGCCTTGCAAAGTCTTGGCCATTCTCCTTCACTTTTTCTTCTTGAGTGCTTTTGCATGGATGCTGGTGGAAGGATTTCATCTCTATAGCATGGTGATCAAAGTATTTGGGTCAGAGGAGAGCAAGCACTTATACTACTATGGAATTGGMTGGGGTAAGCCTTTACTAGCTTGTTTTCAGGCTCTTCACCATGGGACAAGATTATCTATGTATCCTAATCACCGATTTTTATAGTATGCTTGAAACTGAATTTCAGAATAGTTTCTAATAAAGAATACAATATGAATGTATTTGTCATGCCACGATTCCTGTCTCATAGTTAGATTAAGATTGATCTTAATGATCATAGTTTGCCTACTGAGAGTAGGTTTATTGGAGAAAAACAGGCATTTTTTGTTTGCAATGAAACTTTAAAATAATATACAGTCACTAAGTGTAATCCCACTGCAGTAGATTCCTTGACCTCACTATGCCAAATCAGATCCTTGATAAGAGATTCAAGGAGTACAGAGGAGGTCTCACTGATATGTTTTTTATTTTATTTTATTTTATTTTATTTTATTTTATTTTATTTTATTTTATTTTATTTTATTTTATTTTATTTTATTTTATTTTATTTTATTTTANTTATTTTATTTTATTTTATTTTATTTTATTTTATTTTATTTTATTTTATTTTATTTTATTTTATTTTATTTTATTTTATTTTATTTTATTTTATTGTTTCTTACTCATAACACTGACTTATTCTATCTGTATTTTACAATCACCATACATACAAAATGGGCAGAGTATTTCAGGAGTGCCACAAGACTTCATTAGTTTGTGTTTTGTGCCTTGAAATCCCTAAGTGGAAGAGGCTGTTATTATTAAGAAAGAAATAAGTGTTCCTACAATACAGGAATATCACAGAAAGTAAACTGCAGCTTTCTAAATGTTCTAAATGCAGGAAACAAATCATACTCTCTGTTACCATCATCTAGATGATCTCTAATTGCCTATCTGAGCTGCAATGCCCTTTAGCCCCAAGTTAATTTTATTGTTGATGGAAAAAAAATGTTTCTTATTGACCAATTTCTCTAAAAAGAAAGGTAGTAACATTTTCACTCAGAACTATTGAATGGCTGGTGCTCGGGGAATCTTGGCAGACCATGCACATTTTTAAGTTTTTCTATTCATGTAACAGTTTTTGTCTTCTTTTCATTGTTCCCCTATGCCAGCCYACAATCCATCTCACTCAGGCAGTAAAAAATTACTTCTGATTTAGAGACCCTCACTGGAAAACTGGTTAAAAATGAACTTTGCTGCACATTACCTCAGACTAATTCAGTCAGGAGAACTTGTTTGCCTTAACTGGGCACCAAATTTGCTTTTGAGTCTGAATTTGCAAATGTGATAGAGGAAAGAATCTACAGAGATGAGCTTTTTGGAACGCAGTAATGCATTAATCTACTAGTCCTAAAATGTCAGTGCTTGTAATGTGCTGATTTAATGATTTCTCATTCCTGCTACCTTTTTTAGTTCATAAAACTTATGATCAGCCATTTTCATGTTGCCATTTTATCTATTAGAACAACTAATGCCAGATGGTGCATTGCCCTAACCATACTGGATTTAAGTAAAATTCTTGAATGCTTATAGTAAATATGTTCACCTTGCTAATTTTAATGCAACCTAACATTAGTAAGCGTAAGGATTAATTTAGGTAACCCCAAACTGTCCAAGGAAATGGCAGGGAAGGATTAATACAATGTTGAATAATGACTTTTCTCTGTTGTATTGTCATATAAAATACCATAAAATTTCCAGCACCCAGATAGTCTTGCAAGTCTGGGGAAAGTAGCTAAAAATGCTTTGTCCTAAAATTACTTTTTCTGGCAGAGTAAGTTAGTCTTGAGTGCAGCTGTCAAAAGAAATACAAGAGTTCTTGTGCTATCCTGAGCCAATCATAGATAAGCAGGGTCCAGTGTCTAATAGAAATGGACAGTTTTTTACAGTTTGACTTGGCTAATTATTATACTGACTGAAAGTGATAGAAGGCAGTGGAAGACAAGGATGTCTCATCTCATATTAGCAGGTAGCTCATTTCTTCATCTTTCACTTTTATTTGCATTCAGCTTTTGCAAACTCATAGTTCCTGGAATAATGACAAAACCCAGTCTTGAATTTAAAACCCCAGACGCATCATTTTTATTTAAGCAATGTAGATGCATAAAAGTTTGTGGAATCTATGTTAATGACAAGGCGGAACCTGAGGCAAGATTTGACAGTAGATGGGAAGAAGGAGCTCTAGACCGAGCATCACTTATCTCATAACTAAGATTTCTGAGAGATGCTACTGCAGTAAAAGGAATCCAACAGTAATCAAAGATGTGGGTTATCGAATGTGCAGAGCTGATTGAAGTTCTCCTGTATTATCTTTAGTCCCAATGGTGCTAAAATTACCTCAAAGCCTGCAGTTGTCAGTAATTCAAAAGAAGAGCAATTTGAGGAAGATGGTAATATCCCACTTTTAAAACTACCTTGAGATTGATTGGGTAAAAAAATAACACTTTGTTGCCTTGGTGATTCAACATAATACACAAAGATTAAAGTATCAAAACTTTTCCCACCCATTTGTAGGATGCTGGTGAAATAGTCTGTGATACTGGGGATTTTTCTGTAGCATTTTGGCCTTAGCCTGTTTTCCTATTTCTTTTCCTTTACAAATACGTGCTTAGAATAGAGATTTCATTATGAGCTGTCAAAAGAGCTAAACTACCTTCCTTGCTGTTGTTTGATATAGTCTCAGACTTCCCCATGGCTATGGTATAAGCCTGTAGAAAAAGAACAAAATCATCTGAAATTAACTTCTACTAAAGAAATGAGAGAATATAGTTTTCCATCATGTCAAATAGGTAGTTTCAGGTTTYACAGAGAAAAATGCTTCATTTGTGTCTAGCACTTCACTCTTATCTGCAAATGACATATTTAGCCTTTTAGAATTAATGTCTTAAAATTGCTTGCTTCTATAGCCTTCAGTTTCTTACTGTTTAAAGACACAGAAGCTTTCAAAAGACAGTATATAGCTTTACAGGTATTTTTCGTTTTATCATTAGTGCCTGAAAACTTCAGAGCAGATGGATTAGATGTGAAGTTCAGGGCTGAAGGAGGGTACCAGTAATCTATCCAACGCTCATTTTAGTTTCTGCCTTAGTGCCCCTATTTGGGCTCCTGTTTGAGCAAGGACGCTCGCCTGTGGGACTTCTTGTGCTCACGTTTTCAGTCTGTACCTGCTCCACAGGCTGTATTTTGATGCAGGATTCTGGAATCTTGACTTGGCACTAGAGGAACTCAGGGCTCACTGTGGGAAGATTTACCCCGCTCACACGTGATGCTCCATTGCTCGGCTACTAGAGGGCCACAGATGTCACTCATGCCGTAGCTCAGCTGCCAGAGTGCTGCACGAGGACATTTTCACCTGATGCTGCGCTCTGCAAAGCACAGCCTACTGCATCATAAATTTGGCGATTCAGAGTAGAGTTGGTGAGCGTATTTGTAACATCTGCTAACTGAGAAAACATTTCAGATACAGTAAAAAACCATAATCGTATTTCTTTCATGGCTGRAGAACAGTGCCAGCAACATTAGGATTACCTATTATGGATGTAGACTAAACTTTACAGCTCTTATGCAATTATTACTGACAGAGGATTAAGCAAGTGCATTTACTTTCGTGTACAATATATTATCCATATAAAATTTTAGTCTAGATCAAATCTAATGATGCCCTCAGGCTAAATATGTTTTTTGAACCTGTCTGAAATTTATTAAACAGTTGTTTCTTAGAGAGAAAACACTCCTTTCTCATTGTAACAAAATCTTGAGGTTGCTTCAATTACCATCTACCTTTTAATATCCTGTTAAAGCAAAGTAAGGGCAAACCCTGCATTCCGTTTTACTTTCTTTGACTTAACATCTCTTTTAATACAGACTGCACTACATTTCATCTGCATAACTTTTATTATCTTCCCAAGGAACTCTCTATTTAATTTGCTTCCTCACTGCTGTTTAAAGTTGATAAAGAGTCATACTAAATCCCTCGCATACCCAGCATTTCATTTTGGGGAAAAAAAAGAAAGGTAGAAGAAATGTATGAGAGAGAGTCAGGTGCAGGTATTTTTGCTTCTGTGACAGTCACCTAGGTACAGCTCATTTGCTGCAGGAAGGGACCTTGTGTCTGCAGACAAACATAAGTAACCAGAAAAATTAAGTCTGCTCACTAGCTCAAGATCAAGTTGGAAGTATGCAGACATACCTGAGTGACTTTTAGTGCAGTTAGCTGACACATTCATRGCATCAAGGGTTTCAGCAGATGGGCTTAATTCTGCTTAATTTCTCTGCTGAATATGATTATTCTTGATTTTGTTCACACATGTACAGGATGTCTGCTCTTTATAAACATATGTGATAGTAAACTAAAATGAGGCCTTTGCTCAGGTCTTACGCACAGAAAACTTCTAAGGCAAACATGGGAGAGCAGAGCCAAGTTCATAGGATGTTCAACTCCAGCCTGCTGGTGGAATTTCAAAATCTAACACCTTCAACAGCTTCATATGCTTCAACTACTGAGTATTTTTCTCTTTTRTAAATGCAAGCTTTTTCTAGTCACAGTCATAAAAGAAGCAACATACTTCTTCCAAAAACTGCAGATCTCCTGTAACTCACCATTATGGGAGAATTTTACAGAATTTTCTGAGCATGACACCGATTAGAGTCAGCAGAAATTAACTGTCAAAGGATTTGTAAAAACCTCATGCAAAAAACAGTAGAATTTAAAAGAAAATTGGTACTTTGCTTTAAGCTATGACATATAATACTCTATCTGGGATCTGGTTATTAAATTCTGTAAGATAAGTGCCCCAAACTTCAGATTTTATTAAATCATGCAGGGATTAACAGACACTCATTTAATATTTAAAGAGATGAGGTTTTGCCATGTTCAAAACTACTGGCAAGAAAAGCCTTGCTTCCTTTCCAGCTACTGGCTTGGAAAGCAGTGCTAAAGAGGCACAACAGGATACCTCAGTGCCACGAGCCAGAGACATGAGGCTACCACTGAGAGCAGAATCCTACCTGTCTGACTTGTGTAATTCTTATGTAATTGTGTAAATCACCCTTGAGCCCCCCAGGATGCAGCCCAGTGGAGCTGTCAAAGCCCATCTGGAAAGGTAACCTATAAATGTAGAAATCTTGCAAGGCTTTTTTTATATTTGTGTTAAAATAAATCTTGTTTGGGCACCTAAGTGCTTCTGTCTGCTCATAATTGTCTTTCGTTATCTTGTGCAATGTTCTAGACAAGTAAATGTCACCATTCCTGACTCCTCACCTACTGGCCATGAACCCTCATGAGATTCTGTTCACTAGACAGTCTACTAGATTATTCATTAGATTGTTCATGAACTAGGTGCACATAYTTGCGGAAAATGGTTAAAATAAATGAGCATGATATTCAGCCCCAGAATGTCACATCTCGAAGAGCAAGAGATAAAAGTGCTATTAAAAAAGGGTTAAAAAACCCACGGGTTCTTGATGAGATTAGGACTAATACAGTTTARCTGTTTAATTATTGTTTTATTGAAAAGTCATTTTGTTGTTTGAGGTTAATTGATTAAAACATTACATTACACRGAAGAACTCTGAGTTAGATTCAGTTCTAAAATAACTCCCAGCTGTTCTGCTGTCCTAACGCAATTTAGCTGAATTTGCATGTTTGTCAGAGGATGTACTTTTTTTACTAATCTTGCCACCAACKTTGACTTTTTGCAGGCTGCCCAATGGTGATCTGCATAATTTCTGCAGCATCAGCCATAAACAGCTATGGCGAAAATAACAAGTGAGTAYGAAAATGTGTTCATGCCAGTTACAATAAGTATGAAAAATGTGGTGGGCAGGATCCCTCTTGCAGACCTTTCAATAGGGCCATAGTTCAGCACCGTCTTGCTGACAAGTAGCAAGATAGGCTGCATAAAACAGGAACATCGTGTTTTGTAGACATGTTATTTTATCTAGAAGCCTCAAGTTTGCTTTTTACAGCTGAAGYAACATCTGAATTAATACATTATAAGCTCCTGAGATGTTTTGTCTATTTTTCCCTTTTGCTGCAGAGGTGTAAGGACATCTACAATGAGCTCCGCTTACCCCATAGGCAGCACGGTGGGCCATAGCTAATGAAATGAGAATAATCTTTGATTAAAGATATTTATTCTTCTAACTTCAYTGAACCACCTGGAGATTTAGAATTGGTATTGTTAAAAAATTGCATAGAGCTCCAGTCTAAATTGAAAATAAAAAAACACTGAATTTATCTGAGAATACCCTGGCATTCAATCCTACCATAGTTTAAGCAAAAGCTTTGACACAACAATTGTTGTTTTGCTGTGTGGTAAATTAGTTTTTATAGTCACTGACGTAAGAAAAAAGCATGAATTTTGTATCACATTTCCCAGCTAAGCGGAAAAGTTTCAAAGCTTTCTCTTGCTACAATGGCAGTGCTCACAGCAACCAAATGAAGGCCCACTATGCAGTACAGGAGAACAGATAACAATACATTGCCTTTCTTTCTCTCTTTTTGTCCCTCATGCCATGCCAAGGCATGTCAGAGCCAGCTGCACTGGCAAGACACAAAGCAGAAATCCTGCCTCTGAATCCTTGTGGATATGGGGAAGGAGGAAGCCCTTGCTGATGCTCTATCAACCTCTCTTTGAAATTCATCAATCTTTTTGCATTCTCTTTGTTTAAGGATATGACTAATTAAATGACTGCTTGGTCTAAAATCATTCTCCTTTTTGTCTGCAGCTGCTGGCTTTCACTAGAGAACGGAGCAATCTGGGCTTTTGTGGCACCGGCACTGTTTGTAATTCTGGTAGGTGACCCTGCTGCTGTTCCTGTATCACACATCTGTGTCCACCACACAACAGGACTTACTTGAAGGTTTCATGTCGGTTTTTGTGCCAGGCCATTGAACTTGACTGAACTAGAGATGAATGTTTCTGATTTTTTTTGTTTTCCGGTTTCAGTGTTTCACATGACTCTGTATTCTTCTGTGCATATTAACTCTCACACTATTCATTCCACTGACCATGTACAGCCTAAAATTCTGGGACAATCCTTTTTGGAAACAAGCCTATTGGGATCATTAGTAACTAGACAGAACTGACTAAGCTTGAGGGTTTTGCTGGTTCTGAGAAAGAACCCTGAAAGGAACCAATTCTGCAGTTTGTGTTTTATATAGAACGTTAAAAGTTGAAAGGCCAATTCTATCCCACTGGTATTTGAGGCTCTAGCCTTTAGAGATCTAACTTTCCTAAATAAAAGCTGGGCACTCTCAATCAACATGACACTCAGTAGCACTTGCCAGCAGATTGCAGGGATGGGTTAGAAAAGCTGCATGAGCCTCAGCCCTTGGGCGAGCTCCCGGGGTGACAAGTTGGCCAAGGCTGCAAAGGGTCCATGTGGCCACCTCAGACGCTGGTGTCACTTGTAAACATGGACCTTTCCTGAGGAGGGTGCAGGTTCATGACTCACATACTGATACATGAATACCCTGCAGCACTTTAATTATGCCCACACATTAAATTACTGTGAATTGTTCCTTTGACGGCTTAAGGAGGCAAGGTTGTTTGCAGGGATCAGGYGGGAGGTTACTCTACTGCGTTTCCAATCCTGTAATTGATCAAGTTATATATGGTTTTTGCTGTGGGCTGTAATGTCAGAGAAGTAGGCCCGTTAATGAGTGGAATTGTATTTTCTTTAAGCTCTACTTAGATTTTAAAGACATGAGCCCAAACCTAGACCAAAGTCTGCGCCCACTGTGTCAGTTAAGGAAGAGCTGGTCAAAATGAGAGCCCAATTACTCGCCTGGAGAAGCAGCAGCAGGAAGCCAATGACTCCAGCTTTTACTTCCTTGAGAAAGGCAGAATTCCCAAGGACACCCATAGCTTCTCCACATGGAGTAATCCCCCAGATTCTGTTCAAAAGGACCATTTTCATGAGCCACAGCGAGGAAGGAGAGCTCTACATATGGCCAGTGYCACCAGGCCATCAGTGTTTACTACAGTGTATTTCTATAGCTGTTTGGCAAGGAGGAGGTGCCTGCTAGGATCACCTATGGGATCACAGGCAATTTAGGCAATTTTCAGCTCAACTTTACCCTAGCATTGGCCTCAGAGATGGCTAAATCAACACAGGGCATAGGCAGGCCTGCATCTCTTCCACCTATGCTACAAGCRCTGAAATGGGCTATACAAGCTTTTTTTTTTTTTAAGTTGGCATACTGATGTTGCAGAAATTGCTTTATGCTGGCCTTTTCATCAAATGATTAACAGCAGCACTGGAAAATCACTCTGCAGTTAGGGTAGATTATCTTTTAGCTAGGTAATAGGCAAAATAAGTAAGAAATGTTGATCACTGGCTTAGAATCGACTGAACAGCTCTGGCCTGCACTCCAGCAGTTTAATTTCTTGCCTTCTGTAGGTAATTCTGTATTCAAAGACATGCCGGTATTGATGACTGGAGAACACTTAATRTAATATTCAAACGTCTTCTTATCACTTTCACATTTGCTTTTTGGCCATTGTTTAGCTACAGCAGAGGAAATGAGATGCAACCACTAAAATGAAATCTTTCCCAGCTCCTGTCCAAAGATGGTTTTAATCAAAACATGCCAAAGAGTAAAGCACTTACCAGCCTGAGTGAGCACAGACTTCAACAGTTTTCATGCCTAGCTGCTTGCCATAAAAGCAAGGGTTTAACTCCCTGGCTATCACTTATGATATATAATATCTGTACAGTTCAAGTTATATTCTTGTAGAGATACAAATATTTTGAGAAAGATAAAGAATGAGCTCACAAGCTTGATCCACGTTGAACTATTTGTTAAATAGTCTAAACCCAGCTCTGCTCAAAATAGCAGCAAGYTAGCTGACAAATTATTCTCTCTGGGCATTGGATATGCTAGCTGAAAAATGTGTTAGYGCCTATAGGGAAATAACAAGGTTAAACACTATTTTGTGTGTGCATGTGCGCCTGAGTTCTCTAAATAGCAAATCAGCCGCTATTTGCAGGAACTAGTGTTCTGCTCCGAAAATACATCTTACAAAGCAATTTTTGACTACTTTAATCCATAATTTCTCCCTGCCAAGAAAATGGATTATGCTGGGAAGAAAGCAGGGGGATTGCTTTTCTCAACTCCCACTCCCCAGAGTCGAGGCAGRCACATTCTCCTTTCATCCCACCACAGCCTCGCAGTCAATATAGACACTACGGAGCCTTGACCAGGATGATGTGGTAGGAGTGTGACTGGGAAAAAATTCTCACACATACTTTTCTAGGGAGTAACTCACAGTACATCCCAGCCCTATAGGGATTCCTATATTCAAAGAGCACTTTTCTTGGGGTTTTAGTCAAGTGATGTAAAGAAAGAAACAATTCCTTCTACACATATATATTTTGGCTTCTCGCTGCTGCTTAAGATTTAAAKATCACTTTCCTCTGACCCCTACACCTCCAAAAAAAAAGAAAAAAAATCCACCAACACCCAAGAAACATTCAAAAACATCCTCTTAAGGCAACTTTGCAAGAAAATAGTTGCAATTAACTTGAAACCAAATTAATCTCAATTGAAGTTGGCCTGAGAAAACATGTCTTCAAAGGCAAATCTTAAAGCATCTTAATTTTTGGAACAAGATAGCAGAACCTTCTGGCAGAAGACTGTTTGTTATCAACCATCTGCTACCTTGGTGTGTTTCCATAGATATGGCAAAATTAAGGAAATTCTCCAGAAGGTATCTGTGTCTGTGGAGCAATAGGTATGCTAAAGACATAAACCAGTTGAGTGTGGGATATGAAAAAGCTCAGCTGTAGCGGCAAGTTCTTTCTATTGTTTTCTTTGTAGTTATTTTCCTGTTTTTTTTTTGTTTGTTTGTTTTTTCAATATTTCTACTAAGCAGCAATTTTGTAGAGCTGAATGATTTCCTTAGCATATTGCTAACACAATTCAGTGCTGCAGGGTCACCAGCTTTGTAATCAATATCTTCATATAACACTCCTGGGAGCCTGGTTCCCAGGTGGAGATTGCCATCACTGTCTGCAAGTAGTATATTAAATACACGGGACGAGATGCTCTCCCCTTATACTTGCTAACCATACATGATTTAGTAAGTTCTATTGGCTTCATGGTAATTATTCATATCTTTATAAGCAGCAGTGTAGACTTGTTTCCCTATGTTGAATAGCAATGTCCTCTGAAAGTAGGTCCACAAATTCAGAAGTGACAACTTGTGTCCCTTATTAGGCATCACTCATCATGATAAAAGGCGACTGAATTGGACCCTTGATGTTCAAAGGCCTTGAAACGAGTAGGATTCTTCAGTTGTTGAACCTCAGTACATACTCAAGTGCTGGGGTGGATTACAGCACAAATTAACAGATCACAGGAGCTAAACTCTTTATTTTTTAGAATAAGAGATTGTAAGAAATGTAAAATGAAAGACTGGTGTCAAGAAAAAGGAGAAATCAGAGATCTGWTTTACCTGTTATTTAGAACTCTTGTGCGTTTCCTTTCAAGGCTTAATGGCTTACTCTGATTTTCAGCTATGACATATGTTAATGCTAAGTAAAGGCCATGTACCCACAAATCCAAAATAACATAATTTGTCTATTCTTCCTATAATTGGTCTGGTTTAGCTAAAAGTGGGATTAGGCTTTCTAAAATCATTCCCAGTTTTGAACTAGCTCAATCTGACTTGATTGTTTAGCTTTGTATAGAAATGTATAATGCCCAGTAGTGACTTCTGATGCGACCTAGCCATGGGCAGCACTGCAATAACTTGCAGCATTAGTGTGCTACTAACGATGTTGTGACAAGAATCAAGTTAACTGATGCCATCAGAGTATGTTACAGCTTGGATTGGAAGAGCCCATTATAATTCTGTAGCCTTGCCTGAAACTGAAGTAGAACTTAAAATAGTTTGTGGTTTTAAGGAAAGCTGCTCAATGGATTTAATTAAGGCAATATGCTTTTTATCCATATTTTTAGTTTCTCTGTGCTGCCAAGGTTTTTCCTGGCTAGGACACAACACACCAGATCAGAGGGTTTTACTCATGGGATTTCTGCACTGCACTAAAGAAGCAATAAAAATCTCATGAGACTCAGAGGAAATCTGGATGAAACCTCTGCAAGAAACCTAAGCGAAGAGAAGAACCTGTCTCACTGCATTTCTGTCTGAGCTTTGTAAAACTCTGTAAAAACACTCTGAAAAACCAGCCACCTTGACATGGGACAAAACTTCCACTGACTGCCTTTGTGCAGCTCTTGCAGCTAGGACATGCACACAACATCCTGCTGGACTGGTGGCAAGGGGCTGCAGCATTAAGTGCCACAACTGTAGCTAGTTCTTGCAGGTGCAGCTACATTCTCCTTTTCATGTCTGTTCCTATAAGCAGGACTGCATCATTAAGAAAATAAGGTTTGATTCATGCACTTTGCACTTTCCCTTGTTCAAAAACTGGTCTGAAGGAATATTGATGAGACAAAGACAAATATTAAAGACAAAGACAAATATACAAAGATATCTTTTTTTCACACATTAAGCTTTAGTCCTGATCTGAGAATTTTTAGGCAGGTGAAAGTGTTACTAGTATGAGCCAGAGCTCACAAAGGCGCTGGGCTCTTTCCATGGGCTCCGGAGRGCTTTGGATGAAGGCTGCAGTAACGAGAACTGGCAGCTCCCATGGATTGCACAAAGAGTGGCGAGCGCCTGGGGCTGGATTAGCCGACTTGAAAGGAGTCCTGTGCACTAACACAGATGCTATTGTAGCGAGCTGCGTTTTCTTTTTTTAATAGAATGTGGTCAGTGCCTGCAAGCAAGTAAATTCTGAGTTCGTGGGTAATTCTGAGGCAAAATAACTGCAACTGCCAGGCAATCTGGCCTTTCAGAAAAGCAGGAATAGGGGCTACATATAGCCCTCTTATCCAAATATTATGCTCCTAGATTGAATGTTGTGATATAGGTTAAAATACAAGTGTTTCATCAACTAAGTATTCCTCTATTCAAAAAATTGGCACAGTATTTGTGCTAGATGCAAAAAAAAAAAAAATCTCCACGGGAACAATTCAGTGGCTGTATTTTGGTTTCCCATTATAATGATAGCGGAAATACCTCCATGATTTTCTTACTGAAACTGTAACAAAGGAAGACATCCATAGCTAATCTGCTCATTTAGGAGTAATTTAGAAATTACTCTAAATTCTCATAATACTAAAACAAAATTTTTCAAGTGTTTTGGGAGATTTAAACATAGAACTTGGGGACTGGTGTACAAAGTAGCTTGTTTTTTATTTGAAATAACACTACATTGAGTTTTAACTAARTAATAGTGCCATTCAGAATTGTTCTCTTCCTTTTTGTTCTACAGTTAAAAGAAAGATTTGTTCTTTTCTTACTCTTAACTTCATGCTAAATATTCTGCTTTGTAGCTGATCTGTAACTTTGGACAGGAAGGGGCAAAATATGTCTTTCACCTTCACATTCACTTCCTCTCTCTTTTTCTTTTTTCTTTAAACTCAAGGTCTTTTCACAACAAGATAGTGTTTGCCACATCTCCTTTAAATGGTAAAGATTCCTTTCTTTCTTCACCTYTGACTCCAGAGCAAACTTTCTTTTGTTGCATCTTTTTAGCGTTAGTCTTTTCAAAATTTCCTAGATCTCTGGTGGGGATTCTTTTCATTTTATGTATGTTTCTGCTGGGTCTGACATCAAAAAGCGTATCGCCTTTGAAGAATCGAGTTCAAGCCTAACATGTTTTCTTTATTGCTAGTTTAAAATATATCTCGTTTGCAAGCAAACTTTGGGAAGGAACCAGAATAATACACCATGAAGTCTAGTGAGAAAGGTGCTTTCTGAAGCATGTGCATGTACAAGCACAAGGGAACAGCTCCAAACTCCCAATTCATTGAAGTTTCTGTCTAATTTGCCACTGATGATAGATTATTGGAGTAGATTATTTGCAGAACAGGGATTCTTATCACTTCTTAACTGCTGTAAGAACTACTCAGTGAAGGGGAGAAGGAACTCCAGGGACAGTGAAGTCAAACAACWGCCTAAAATTAGAAACCTCTTTCACCCAACAAATAAAACAGGCAGAGTTCCTATTTCCTGTTCTATTTGTACAATATACCCTAGGGATACTTTGCATCTCTCACTTTGTGCGATATTTATTTGCCYGATCAAGTCTTTTCCTTCCTCTTCAGGTCAATATTGGTATTCTCATTGCTGTGACCAGAGTTATCTCAAGAATCAGCGCAGACAACTATAAGGTCCATGGAGATGCCAACGCATTCAAGTAAGTTCTTCTCATTCAAATTGTGCTATAACAATAATCTCAAACTTTATGTCATATCAATGAAAGTCCAGGTATCACGGACTCTCCCAAGAACTTATCCAGGATTGTTCCTCTTTAGAAGAAATCAAATAGTATCATATTTTTCTCTTGAATAAGTCAATGAACCAATATTTATGAAAGTTGAATGTGATACAGGGTGAAGCCAGTGGTTCTGCACAAGCTAGGGTGTTTTCCTGTCTATTAGAGGCTCCAGTTTTCACCGATTCACAATTTCCATTTTTATTAATGGAGTGTTTCCTCTKCCTGCTATATTCAAAGATAAATCTCACAAAAGTATCATCAGTCTGTAAAGGGTATTACAACAACCCTGCTCCTTCAGAGGATAAACCTTGTTTCTAGCCCCAAGTCAGCATACTATTTAGGCATGTACTTATCTTTAAGACCCTCTTGATACTGCAAAGCACACAGACTTATGCTGGATTTAAATGTGTACTTAAATCCAAGTATTTCTTTGTATCATAGTGCTTTGAGCCTCTTGGGATGGTGGTGTTTCTCAGAGTGTATCATGTTTAAACACTGTGCTGGAGAGGTGACAGGGGAAACGTAGACACGTAGCTGTAGCTGAACACACAAGGACAAATTCTTTTTTCTAAAATCCAGAGAATTGCGTATGTTTTGCTAAGAGGCTAATAAGAGTTTAAAGTAAGATGCTGAATATTGCATTTTGTATCTTCTGAAGGTGCTTTCTTCAAAATATGAAAAGGACAATGTATATAACTCAAGAAATATATAACTTGAAATTACAATGCGATGATGGTTTATGTTTCTGAATTGGATGCTGTTGTGTGATGAGCATCTGGTGTCACAGCCCTGAAATGGTGACATAAAGAGTCATTTCTGTTCTTGAATTACTTATGTAATTTTTAAAATGCCATTAAATTTCAATATTGGTGACACTTTTCAAATTGAAGTTATTTTAGTTCGTGTTTTTATCCATCAGGATAGAAAATTTATCCATCAGGAATAGAAAAACAGTAAATAAGTTTATACAAAAATCTATAAGATAATTACTTTGTAGTGAAAACACTGGGAATAAAAATGGCTGTTGAACCAGGTTTGGCTGAGTGCCTGTGACCTTCAGAAATACTGAGGAAATATGCAACCTTAGGAGGCAAATGACTCTTTATTTTCAATGTCAATTTGTATAGTCTTTTAGAGTTATGGAAACAAAGGAATAACCTCCATTAAACAGAACAGGAGCTACAAGGATAGCTCTATGTACTTAGACATTCCATTACTTGCATTCTAAAGAAGATTTGATTCAATACACACTGTACCCTGCATACTGATACATTATTAAGACATACTGTCTTAATACAGCCATATATGTGTATATATAGTAAGAAAATTTATTAGTAGTTGAGACAGAAATAAAAAGAAATGCATTTTATCAGGGCTTAATATTCTTGGTCTAAATAATATAAGCTCTAGATTTGATGTGGTGGAGCACTATAYTGAAAATGTGATTTCTACAGAAACCCTGAACCAAAAGATCCATGTTCCAAATATTTCTTTCTGAAACCCAGGTTTAGGATTTGGCCTAACAAAAGCAAGGTAGTGGAGAAAAGTAATAAGTAGTGGGAAGATAGATATGAAAGCATTCAATCATGAAATTATTGGTTAGCAGGAATACGCCTGGGTAGGACAGCTTTACTCTTAGGCTTGAATTACTTCATTTAAACATAATTAAAGGTAAACAGAAGATAAACAATAGTTCTTTTGTGGATATTATTACAGAAATGTGTCCTCAGGAGAAATCTGAAATGAGTAAAGGATAAATAGCCTTCCAAATCAGATCTTAGAAGGTATTTATACCCTAATTCAATATACTACTGAAGCATGAAAAAATTAGAGTTTCAGCTACAGAGGTTGTCACAGAAAATAACTGGCCTTATTGTTGGAAACAAAACAGAAAAAATAAGGTCTTTGTAAAACTGATTTCTTTTTCTTGTCACTAGTATTGCTTACAGAGTTGAGAAGTTTATTTCTGCTATAAAGTGGTATATAATTCCTTCTSTAGTAGTTTTTCTAAAAAAAGACAAGAAAGCAGCAAGAGAGGGCTCTGTTCTGACAGCAGCATGGGAAATGCTATTCCCAGTAAAACCTAAATGCCTCCAGCACCTCAAGGCTCCGAGATGCTGATTAGGTCTTGTTAATGTGCCTGAGCAGATGAGCAAAATGAAGCCGTAACACAAGGCACAGAGAAACTGCACAAGCGCAGTGAGCTCTGCAGGTCCCATCAAGTCACTCCCGGCAAGGGCTACAAGGCACTTTTTGGATCAACAAGTTCAATTTAGCTCAGGGAGAAATCACCGAAGACTGCAAAATGCTCCCTGTAATGTGAGCCCTAAATAAAGGACCTGTCAGGCATCCATCTCACCAGGGCAGTTCGCTTGACATTAGCTATGGGGGAAATCGGAATAGGAAAGAATTTATCAAACACTTCCCAAAAATGCTCTGAATTAAAATGGCACCGCATGATTTCAGGGAGACAAGAAATATATGTTGTTGCAGGGTGGTTTTTTTTTTTTTT